ACTTAAGACTGGTTTTGTGGTCCAGGGTCACATATACACTTAACAGTCAAACGTTTGGAATAATAAAAATTTTTTTATGTATCTTATGCTCACCAAGGCTGTTAAAAAAAAAAAAAGTAATATTGTGAAATATTACAATGTAAAAGTACTGTTTTCTATTTGAATGTACTTGATCCTGTGATGCAAAGCTGAATTTTCTGCAGAAATTACTCCAGTGTCACACGATCCGTCAAATATCATTCTTATATGATGAATTGGTGATCAGTTATTATCAGTTATTATTGGTGCTCAATTATTAATAATGGTTCTTATTATTATCATTGTTTTGCTGGTTAATATTTTTGTGGAACGCGCGATACATCTTTTCAGGATTCTTTGATGAATAGAAAGTAAAAAAAACAGCATTTATTTGAGATAGAAATCTTTTGTAACATTGTAACAAGTCTTTACAGTAAAAAAAGTAAAAGTAAAAACATATAGGATTATGAAATGTTTCTTGCACCAAATCAACTTATTAAAATGATATCTGAAGGATCATGTGACCCTGAAGACTGAAGTAATGGCTGCTGATAATTCAGCTTTACCATCAGAGAAATAAATTGTTAAAATACTGTATATTCAAATAGAACACTTTTTTTAAAATTATATTTTACAATATTACTGTTTTACTGTAAATATTGTGCAGTAAATAAATGCAGAATTTGTGAGACTTCTTTCAAAACATAAAAAAACGTAATTATTCAAACTTTTGAGCGCTAGTGTAATAAAAAAGTTTAACAGCAGTTCACTTAAAGGGGTAATGAAAGGTTCATATTTTGGTTTTGGGAGTCCCCAACAACAGGTTGACATGCATGCAATGTCAAAAAACACTTTCATTGTCTTATAATATGCATTTATTTTTACCTTACTTGCTCAAGGACTCCCAAACAATTCACTCAATGAGATTAGTCCGCATCATGACTGTAATCAAAGTCCTTTTAAGGTATTCTATAGTATTTGCTGTAATGCCTGACAAAGCAGCGTTTGTGAGCGCAGTGCTGCTTTTGTGCTTTGTGTACAGCGTTACCGGGGAAACCGCTATTTTTACTGCTCTAAAAGCGGCACCTAGTGGCAAAGAATTAATTTGCATTTTCATTCAACCAACGCGAAAATAGTGGGCGGGCAATATGCTAATGTTTCACGTTGACCTCAAATGTTGACCTTGGGATTCCTTTTAAAAACAACTTGTTTCAATGATTCAGAGTTGACTCTTTCTTTTGAGAGACAATAACTTTATACACGGTGCACTTTCAGATTTAAAACTTTGCAGGATGTTTTCATTCACTTAGAGCTGTGTTACACGCTGCATAAAAGGTAATTTTAAAAAATCCATAATAGGGGCACTTTAATTGTGGAGTTTACAGGCCAAAACTGCAGAAAATGAAATGTCACTTAACATCATGAACTGTAACAGTCTGGTTTGACTCTTGCAAAGAATCCGCCTACTATTGCTCAAAATAATATTTCGCAAGTTTCAGTGTTGCATAGTGTCCGTTTACTGTGACCCAGGACTGTCACGATGGCTTCAGTCTAACAGCAGATTGTGAATGGACTGTTTCTATAACAAAAAGCTTCGTACTTGGAGTGGAAAGTAATCAGGCATTGTTCTCTGCACTCACGGCTGACCTAAAAGCATGAGACTCATGAGCAACTTGCTCTGATTAAAGAAACAGATGTTTAACCACACATCACAGCACAGTTTTGCCAGGACAAACACGGAGACAAGCAGCTTTAAACATTGCTGAGATGAGAACCAGTTTTGCTTTTGCTTTTGCTTCAGGACCCAGTGTAAGAAGTAACCTAAATCAAACCTGTGACCCTTTTTGGATGCAGCTGGGTTGCATTTTCTATTATCTCGCATAGTTTGGATCCTGGTTTTCGAGGTTCACGTAAACTCTTAATACCTATAGCCTAGGCTACTGTCTCAGTCTGTATCAATTTGCGCCAAAATGTCATATAGCCTAGAGTTTGATTGGACTTGCAGCATTTTATGCCAGCATTGAAGGATATGGGAAGCGTTTTCTTTTCATTTAAAGGTTGATAAGCCTATTTATTTTTGCTATACTAACTATCATATTGTGTTGTGGATTCAGTGACTCTTTTTGCAGGTTAGTCACCTACCAGTAGGTGGCGGTAAGTGACTGTCTTTCTGAGTGAGTCATCAAACAATTAATTCAAAAACGCTGATTCATTAAAAAATAAAAATAAAATAAATTATATAGTGCATTTATATTAATGAATAATTGAATCATTCATTCATCCAAAGCGATCAAACATAAGGAATCACTTAGTGTTGTTTCTCGCAATGCTCGGTGTTATCCCAGCTAACAAAACATGTTCTAAGAACATTTTCTGCTATGAAAATGTTATTTCGTAATGTTATATGAACATTCATAATGCCCAGTTTTTAAATGTTTTAAAAACGTTTTTTCCCTGGTTTTGCGAACATTGAGGGAATATTAATTTGGAATATTCTCTGACCTTTCAGAAGATCATCCAACTGAAAGGTTCCATGAACGATGTATAAATAATCTTAATGCGCTAAAGTTTTGAGATCATTATTAAAGACCAGATAACTATAAACGAATATTCTCTTAATGTTTCTGGAAGAACGTTTGTTCTTTGAGAGTACCTTGCCAGAACGTTAGCCAAAGTTCTGTGAACATTCTCTGTTAGCCGAGTCTGAGATGCGCATTTATTTGCAAAACTTAATGAAAATGAATTGCGTTCTGTATATATTGCTTTCTTTATATATAAAGCTGATATAGGCCTTTCATAAATGTTGCAAAAATATTGCGTTCTCCAAGAAACTTTGCATTTGCTCACGAAAGCACTGTATTCAGTTTAGTCAGTGATTCCTCTGCATTTTTATTTTGGTTATTAGTGTGGCAGTGTAGGTGAAAAGACATTAGTTAGTTACTTAATTCAGGAACAGAATTCTAAAACCTATAGTTAAGTAAAGCTCTCATTTCTTTTAGATCACCACAGGTGTTTCCAAAAGTGCCAAGACTACCGTGCAGACTAATTTTGTGTACAAAGTGACTGAGCGAGAGAGAAAAAAGCGAGAGGATATAGGGGGTCTATTCAGCCCCTCAGTCTATGTCAAGTCTCTGTAGCCATTTGTCAGGAAGCATGAATGCTTGCCTTCATCTTCTCCCTTTTTTTCTTCTTTAGGCCAACCACAGTTCAGCTTTAAGCCGATTTTGCCTCTCTTCTTTGTGGGCCGGGAGTAGTCCGTTCTTCCATGGGCCAATAGCCTATAAGTTTAGGAGTGACATCACTGCCAGATTATGCTCTTGCCAAGTGTCATGAAAGAAACTCTCCCCGTTGTTCCCCAATGAAAAGAAAAGAGGCAAAGAGGCTCTGGGAAACCCTGACACTCCTCCTTGCCTGCCATGGGAACTGTTAACACAGAAGAGAAAATATTTCAGTTGACAATGCACAGAATGTAATCAGGCACTGTTCCAGGACCAGACCAAGGTTCATTCTGGGACTGCTTTTAATTTTAGGCCAGTCTTGTTGGATAATGGCTACTTATGTTATGGATGTCTATGTGTAAACTGACATCTCTCTAAGTTATGGAGAGATGTCTATGTGTAAACTGAGCTCAGACATCCTTTCATGAATGAAAATCAACAGCCATATGTGGTATATGTCCCAATATTGATTTTCTTGTCCGTATTGATCCAATGCGCACCATTCAAAATTGCATAGTAGTCTAATGTCACAAACTTGCATAGGAAAAGTAGTAGTAATGCTTAGTATTACTAGTCGTATTGTTTTTCTTTCAGTATTAATGCCTGATGTCAGCCAAAAATCAATGCTATACGAAAATATTTTAAAACAATTCATAATTTTATATATAGAAACACTACTATATATTTTATATGTACACTTTTTATATAGATATGTTTAAAATAATATCTATCTAACATGCAATAAGGGTATTTTAGAGTAGGCTCAGTTAGGAATAGTTTCTGTTGGCTTGGAGATGTTTAAGAGTTTTTTTGGATGCTTGAATAGCAGTCTGGCAGAAACCTTGAATAGCTCAAAGCAGGGTCTGCATACCAATGCAGTTAACACCCGGCACTATTGGCAGCTTTTTGCAGTATTGTGACAGTGATAGATTACAAAAATGTAGATATGGGCATATTTCTGAATCCTTAGTTTTTTTTATTCATCTCAATGAATGTTATTTTAATTAGGTATTTAGATGTAGTTGTTTAATTTTACATTACATTTATTTAAATGTAGTTTTTGACAAAACTTACCGGTAATATTGTGAAAGATAGTTTTACATAAATACACCTTTGAAATGCTATTTGAGTAATTTATCTAACAAAACCTTTGTATTTTAACTTGCTTTTTCACAAAAATTACACAAGGACCACAAAGGTTACATGAGAGCAGATTGCAGTAATGCCACCTACTGGTGACAGTGGATGTTGACATAATGGCCTGGGTAATATTGAAATAAAAGTATTTCTTCAAAAAAGACCTGACCAAAAAAGAAAATAGAAAAATACTGAAAAAAAAAACAATAATAAGTAATAAAAGAGCTCTCAAACAATTGTGATTCTTGCAAACATTCTTCTAAAACATAAAGCAGAATTCAAGTCTGTATTACAGTTCCAATAGCATTTACAGTTGCATACAGGCCTTTTTTTGACTGGAGACCATATTGTTGATTCTGTTGAGAGCTTTATAAATATGATTTCCCTTTATGGCTATACATTGTACAGGGAATGTTTTTCAATATCTAACTGCAAAACCATGCAAAAGAAAAAAAATGAATATAATATTACATTATACGTTTTTAGTGAATCTATATAATTCCAATTACAAAAACACAAATTAAATAAGGTCTGGTTTAGATAAATTTTTAAACAAAATTCTTGCAAACATCATGCAAAACTATTATCTTTGAGGAACATTTTTCAAATATGAACTGTAAATTAGATTTAAAATAACAATACACAAATTTTAAATAACTATATGAACTATTGAAAAATGCTGTTATTCATTGCTTCACATTTTGCATGAGAACACACCAACAAGCTCATAATCTACCGTGGTTAAAGTAACTTTTTTTTTTTTTTTGTCCAAAAAAGACCTATATCTGTTACAAATGAGCATTGCTATAATATGCATTTGTGCAGGTGACTATACATTCTCTTATTCCCAGACATATCCTGATCGGGGTTTCTACATTGCCTAAAATGTCCGGGTTTTGGCTTTTGCTCTCTACAGTCCTCAGACATTATATGTACATGCATTTGTATTGCTTTGACTGTTCTCTGTAGATCCCACCTGCTTCTTCACAATTTGTCAATTAAGCACAATGCTTGCATGCTGGACAAACTACTTTACAGTCATTACCTTCAGCAAGAACTAAAAGTCAAAACCCAGACAAAACGTATGATCGCTGTACACGTTACTGTACATCAGAGAAAAAAAAGCTCTTTCTACAGACATGAGTTTATTCTCTATGGAGCCACATGCTGAACTCCTACAGAAAAGACAGTGGCAGTAAAATAAATGTCTCCAGGGCGGCCCACCGGCACACTAGTTTAATCGTGTGTCTCACTAGTACACACCATTAAACACTCAATATCATTAAATCAAGTAATGAAGTAATGAGCCAGGGAGCCACCAGAGGCAGTGCTGAAAAACACTGTGGTTGCATGCAATACATTTAATCTGGCACATAATTTTATCCCATACTGAAAAAAAAATCTTCTGTACGAGTATAACGTGCAATAGACATTTTTTGTAACATAATTCAGAATGCCATTTAATTGGCTCTTCTATATGAGGTATAGGCCTATCCATGTAATATTGCAAAAAACACATCCACATCGTTACAGACATTACCTTACATAAACTATTAAGGTTATGCAGAGAAATGTAAAAACAGTAGTGGTTGCAATGTAATATATTAGAACAACGCAGTTGACTTGATGTTTAATGCTTTTTCCTGGATTTAGCACAACAGTTTAGCTTCATTTTGTTATGCAAAATCCAGTGTGTTCATTTATAAAGAGCACTGAACAAAACATATGTTTCCTCTGTGAAGTATAGATTTATAAAAAAGTTTGGCAAGTTGTATTAAATAAAATGTATGGAAAGCTAAAAGAGAGAGAGAAATAAAATAAAAAATATATAAATAAAATAAAAATAAAAAATTATTAAAATGATGTATACATTCAGAGGAACTGAGCTTACTGTCCAAAGCCCTTATTTCTCAGTGCAGTTGTTACTTCTGTAAACGGTTTAGTAAACGGTATTACTAAGAAAGGATATATGAAATAGTTTACATATTTCTTGCTCGATTATATCCTCCCTTCCAGTTGTGTAAACAGTGAACAACTTTCAAACCCCATTCTGACAGAAAACACAGTGGAATGCTTTGAATTAGCACCCCATCAAAATGAGGTCATGTCCCATGTATATATAAAAGACCGTATAATATTACGATCCTGAAACGCACTGCATGTTCAGAAAGGAAGTTAGTTCTTTCATAACTTCCTGTCAGTGTTGTCTGGACAAACGATACTCACATTCTTTCTTGGATATATATTAATCATAAATAGATAGTAATCATTCTGAAACAAAAGGCAAATCCATGGTATTAATAAAAAGATGGATAGCCTTAAGATAATAAATAGTGCAATATTTGCAAACTCTGTCCTTCAAAATGACAAAGAATTTGAGAAGGAAGTTTTCCAGGAAGTAACTTAAATCTCTTTCACATTTCTTGGTCGTTGCTGGTGTAATGCTGTAGGACCTACTGTGCACCTCTCCACTGCATCAGAGCAGCAGATTCCTCAGCGTTCAGAGGTCCGTCTTCACTGCCTTTGCCATGTTGTTTAACATCAGAATACGAGGTATGGCTGGACTCACCACAGCGGTGGTGAAAAGGGGAAGAACGGATACTGAGTATCATCCTCATCCACAAAGAAACACTGGAAGTAGGGAACGTCCTCTGTAGGGGAAAAGACATTAGAGATTGTTTTAGGATTATGTTAGGGGAAAATGAATGGCCGCACAGCACATTCAAAGAAAAAGTACAGCAAACAGGCTTGTCATTTGACCTTTGTCTCTGACTTTGAAACGTTTCTATTGTCAAGAGTTTCTATTGTTACACATTACTACAAGATTGCTTTTAAAGAATATGTGCATGTGCATAATAAATGGAACGATCATAAGTCAGATAAAGGTTCATCATGATCTGAAGTCTACACTGGACATAGTGACAAAAACTCACCCTCCTCTATCTCTGGAATATCTTTGGAGACATCAGGTTCTTCTCCTACAGAAGGGAAATACATATTTCTTTAATCTAATCTCAATCAAATTATTTTACAGTACACCATGGTTATTATCCTCCCGAGACCCTGCATCCTCATATGAGGACATTATATTTTAGTGAATATCTCTGATACTTTACATGCTTTACATTTAAGTCTGGATGTCCTGTACAGAGCACATTCAGGGCTTTTCAGAGATACTAAATGTTTGGATGTTTCACTATGACCACTCCCTCTCCTTGGTCTTCAAAAATGTCTGATATTAATTTAGTGACACTCTTATGGAAATATGATAATATTTTGTAATTATCATTTAAATCTGACTAATTTTTAAACTGTGCGAGGGATGAAAGTTCAGTAGGCCAGTCTGTCTAATCCAATCTTAACCTCCTGAGACCCTGCATCCTCATATGAGGACATTATATTTTAGTGAATATCTCTGATACTTTACATGCTTTACATTTAAGTCTGGATGTCCTGTACAGAGCACATTCAGGGCTTTTCAGAGATACTAAATGTTTGGATGTTTCACTATGACCACTCCCTCTCCTTGGTCTTCAAATATGTCTGATATTAATTTAGTGACACTCTTATGGAAATATGATAATATTTTGTAATTGTCATTTAAATCGGACACATTTTTAAACTGTTTGTCATAAATCAACATCTCAGGAAAATGTTATGGGGTTTCAAATCAAAATATGACTTTCTGGTACGAAACAGGACGTTGATTTCATACATGTCCTCATATGAGGACACCGATGTTTATTACGCATTTTGGGAGACACAACAAATGAATAGGGAAAGAAAATATATTTCAATATTCTTATAAATATTACATATTATTATGAAAATTTAGTCAATTATGACTCCCATTATTACACTTCTTTTTCATTACATGTTGCCCCAAAAACACATTAATATGCCAATTAGATTTAGTTTATAGATACATTACATATAATGAAAAAACCTGCTATGGCCATTTTACACACATTTTGCATGAAGAAAAATGGTATATCAAATCATTCTGTTATAACATAGTTGAGAATTATCTTTATACAAAGTTTGGTAAAAAAAAATCCTGAAAACTAAAAATGTATTGGTGATTTAAAAATAAAATCAAATGTTCATTTATGTCTTTTTATTTTTTGTAAAGAATTGAGTCCCGATGTCCTCTACCAAGGTCGTAGCATAACTTATGAATGAAATATAATTTTTACATTTTTTTTTAATGCTCTAAACAATGTAATGACATGAAAAAGTACAAATTTTTTCCTAAAATGTTTTGCCGGGTCTTAAGAGGATAAAATAAACTAAAATGACAACTAAAACCATTAAAAACATTTTACTAGAAATAAAAGAAACTTAAAGTGGAATCAAATAAAACAAGAAAACAAACTAAATTTATTTCTGTAAGTTGTAAACATCTCTAATTTTCATTTAGTTTAAGTTAAAATACTAAAATATCTAAAACTGAAATACACATTAACAAAAACTAAAAACGTTTAGCAATTTTGTTGTGTGTTTTATTTTAGCATTTCAAATATATGAATACACACGCGTAAATATCTTACCTTTTACTTCCTTGCCCACAACAGCTTCCTTCTCAGTTGGCTCGACTGCTGATTACAGAACATTCACAAAACATCAGGTAAATGCTGTTTTACATGTTACACATTTAGTATATGTTCCCCACAATCAGAATACACGGGCTGCACTTATACCTAAATAGTTTGTCATACCACTTTATAACTGCTAAATTTAAAATAAAATAAAAAACGAAAAACATACCTTTTTGTTTGACCTGCTCAGGTTCTAAAACAAAAAACGAATATAACTGTATTAAAATGATCTTTCTGAATCACGCTCATGCATTTGTTTTTACTGTGAAGGGCTGGCAAATAGATTCCTGTTTGTTATGTGCTGGATTGCTCTGATTTTCTTAGACATGTGGTGTGATGATATTAAAATTATATTAAAAGTCTGTGTAAGTAAAGTCTGTGTTGGTAAATTAGCCATAACACAATCAGCCATTGTACCTTTCTGTAAAGGTTCCTTTACTTGTTTGGCATCCTCATGGGTGATTTCTAGCATCAGGAGAGAGATTTTTAGTCACTGACACAACAATAAGAACACCTTCTCTTTTTACATAGCACTCCCTTAGAAAACTAGAAGAAAGTCATTGTGGTGGGTGATTTCAATTCTTAACAGTAGATATATATTTTACCTTTCTTTTTGGGCTCTGGTCTGATCTTAGCTTTTGGAGCCTCTTTATCTAGAATAGAAAAGTGAATAATTTCTTGGACATAATGGATATAAATCATTTGTTGTGATAACCTTTAATCTAAATAACAGTTCAAAGTGATTTACAAAGAAACAAAACTAATATTTTCATTAAAATAATTTTCTGATTTAGGTTTTTATGGTCTTTAAAAATCACAGAATTCATAAAATCGCTTAAATAAATTCTGTCAATTAACATTTGCATATTTGTATAATATAGCTGCTGTTACATAGCTTTCCGACATACCTTTCTTTGCAGGTGCTGGTTTACTGATGTTTTTCAGTGCATCACATTCTGTGTTGTGAAGAAGACTGGTTAAGCTGCATGCAAGTTTCAATTTCATAATAAGACAATGAAAACTGGATCTAATTTACATTCATATTGTACTGTATATATGCAGACTAGAGAACTAATAAAAGACAATATGGGTAAGACATAAAAATAAATTATACATAAGCAAAAGAGACAATCTGACTGAAAGTGCATCGTAGAATATTCTAATACTGCTCTAATGAAGCTTCAATTTCATTAATAAATTGTCTCCGGCAACTTCCAAAAGAGAAAAACAAATCCTGAAAATAATAGGTTATATATGAGAATTACCTGCTTTAATATGTGCTGTCGTCTTAGTAACGTTCACCAGAGCATCATGGTCTAGAAAAGAAAAATCTTTCACTTACTCGCATGTGAACACTACAGTGGGAATCCCAATTGTACAGTCCACTCTCAGAAAAAAAGGTACAAAAGCTGTCACAGGGGCGGTACCTTTTCAAAAGGTACACTTTTGTAACTTTTAGGTACTAATATGTACCTTTAAGGTACCAATATGGACTGTTTAGGTACAAAGGTGTGCCTTTTGAAAAGGTACCGCCCCAGTGACAGATTTTGTACCTTTTTTTCTCCTGTTTAGTTGTAGCTCATTATGTCTATAATTCATGACCAGCTTGAGTAATTGAGTTTTTCTCAATACCTTTTTTTGGTGTTTTGACCTTTTCCTTGGAGACTGCTAGTTTTACCTTTACACCGACAGTCTTCGGTTCTAAGACACAAGCAGCATGTGGTTTAACGTAAGCAAAACAATTATTTCTACAAATAATTTATGCAAATTTAGTTTTTTTTATTTTTCCGGCCTGCTGATGATGTCAAAATCCACCACATTTCTAACATGGACAAAATACCTTTGATTGTTCTGTTGTCCATTCGTAAAAGCGTAATTTGATTTTGAGTGGACTCCAGATCACTCTTCATTTCACCAATGTCCTTCCTCAGTAAATCCAGAAGAGACAGTTTTTGGTTGATAGAGCTCAAGAGCTCCAAGTCCAAACCAATAAGACCAAGACCAACATCATCTGTGTATACAGAAGTGTAAAAATCATTTGTGTAAATGATCTGAGGCCATTCAGACTCTTATCAAATGCGCAGATGTTACATGAGATTCAATCATGCAAACGTAAGCTTTAATTATTCATTAGCACCATCAAAAAAAACTGTATTATTAGTACATTTTCTAACAGACTTGTGGGGAAATCTCACCTTTATTTGGAGCTGGTTCTAATAACTTTTCTTTAGCGACTTCAGGCTCTATAAAACAATATTTTATGTGATAATAATATTATACAATAATCATATAACAGAAAGCAACACTACACAGAGGATGATTTCATTGACATTCACACCTTTCTTCACAGGAGCTCGCTTAACTTCCTCCTTGGTGACTTCAGCCACTGAAAAGGAAATGATGTGAAAATATTGTTTAAATATGATTTTCTTTAAATTGGAGGTAAAATATTGGTAACTCTTACCTTTCTTCTCAGGAGCTGGTTTAGCTTTCTCCTTGATGGTTTCAGCCTCTAAAATGTTTATAAAATAACATTTAGAGCAAATAAAAAACTTAATACAGCATGATTTAATATTCTGCTTGGGAATAGTGTTAATGTGATTGCTAACGGAGTAAATCAAACCTTTCTTTACAGGGGCTGGTTTAGCTTTCTCTTTGACAATTTCAGCCTCTAAAACAGCAATAGTAATAAAAAACATTGGGGGAAAAGCCTTATGGCTTGGCTAAAATTGATAACTCAACTAAAATAACCTGATTATTTTAAGGGGCTGAAACCTAATTTGTTACACAAGATATCACACTAAAAATAGAAGAAAATAAACTCATACCTTCCTTCACGGGGGCTGGTTTAGCTTCTTCTTTGATGACTACAGCTTCTGAATTAGTGACGATGAAAAAAAATGTATAAAATTTAAAACGCGAAAATTGTTAATTTAACATTATTAAATTGTTTAATATACCTTAAAAATCATTCTATCAGATGTTAAATGGCATTAATATAAAAAAAACGTACCTTTCTTTGGTGCTGGCTTTGGCTTTTCTTTAGTAATTTTGGGTTCTGTAAAACACGGCAGTAGAACTTTACAATAGCAAATGACAAATAGCAAATAAATGGACAATTTTGTGTTACGTGAATTTTGAATTAAAATGTCAATGTAAGTACCCTTTTCTTCAAGAACTGGTTTTGCCTTTTCCTTTGGAACTTCAACTGAAAAGGAGCGAAACATTAAAAAGGATTTCTTTCTGAGAAAATCCTGAAATGCGTACTGTATTCAGATACCTATTCAAATGTGCAAATGTTAAAAGATAAACATTGATTACGCTACATATATTAATACCTTTCTTTGTAGGTTCTGGCATTGGTTCAGGTGCCTTTTCTTTATGAACTTCATGCTCTATAAAAAAAGCAGTTTCAAGTGATGAATGATCACACAGTGGTGTGCAACATCATTACAGGATGATTTTGTTCACATCAATACCTTTCTTTTCAGGAGTTGGTTTAGCTTTCTCTTTGATGACTTCAGCCTCTAAAATCATGATAATATCAAATACACACATCATTACCATTCTCTTAAAACTGGCCAAAATAGAAATATGTTTTGACATTGTCTTTCAAAATTAAATAACAGTACCTTTCTTTGGTGCTGGCTTTGGCTTTTCTTTGATTATTTCAGGTGCTGCAAAATGTGGGGGTTTAACTTCAAACCATTTTAGAAAATCAGGCTGATATTTCAGTTTCAAATGCCTAACAAAGAACTCTAATACATTCTTAATATATTTAGCCTTTGAAATGCTGAGTTAAAGTATTTTCACTCATTTTTGCTATGGGAAAATCGCCCCGGTTGAGGGGCCTTTTCTTTAGCAACTTCAGGCTCTATAAAACCATTTTAATTCATGTAATGAACAATCATTATACAGCCACAAAAAAAACCCGCATATGCAGGATGATTTCACTGTCATCCATACCTTTCTTTACAGGAGCCAGTTTAACTTTCTTTTTGATGACTTCAGCTCCTGAAATAAAAATAGTTGAATAAGAAAAACTTGATTTAAGTAAATATGAGCCTGATCTTTAACTTGACAGCAAATATCAAGCTGCAGTAAGTAACTCTTACCTTTCTTCTCAGGAGCTGGTTTAGTTTCTCCTTGATGATTTCAGCTTCTAAATTGTTGATAATATTCATATTTTTTAGCATGATCCTAAATTTTCTTTGGGAATTTTTTTATTACATTATAAAGTAAATCAAACCTTTCTTCTCAGGAGCAGGTTTAGCTTTCTCTTTGATGACTTCAGCCTCTAAAATGGTGATAATATAAAATATTTAAAGCATTAGCATTATCTAAAAACCAGAAAAGATAGAAAGTTTAAAAAATAGTTTTGGCATTGTTTTTCGCAAATAAATTGCAGTACCTTTCTTTGGTGCTGGTTTTGTTTTTTCTTTGGTTATCTCAGGTGCTGCAAAACATTTAAAATGGTTTAAAATATCAGATAGATATTCAAGTTTCAAGAATGCCTAACAATGAAGTTTAATGCATTCTTAACATCTTTAGCTTTTGAATATAAAATATTTTTCTCATTTTTGTATGTGGAAATCTCACCTATTCTTGGTGCTGGTTCAGGTGCCTTTTCTTTAGCAACTTCAGGCTCTATAAACGTTCATGAATATAATAACCATCATCATACAACAATCAACATACACCGGAAAACAAGAGCATATTCAGGATGATTTCATTGCCACCCATACCTTTCTTTACAGGAGCCGGTTTAACTTTCTCCTTGATGACTTCAGCCTCTAAAATTATGAAAATATTTAGAGAATGAGAAAACTTAAGTTAGAGATTCATCGTTAAATTGAGCACATATCCAGCCACAATAACCGTTACTCTTACCTTTCTTCTCAGGAGATGGTTTAGGTTTCTCTTTGATGACTTCAGCCTCTAAAGTGTTGATAATATTAAATAAAAAAGGCTTTTTAGCATGATCTTATATTTTCTCAATAAAATATTTCATTACATTTTAAAATAAATCAAACCTTTCTTCTCAGGGGCTGGTTTCATTTTCTCTTTGATGACTTCTGAAATTGTGAAAGTATAAACATATTCAGAGAAGACAAAATACATATAATAGAGTTATAAATTAATGTACTCCTCTAAACAGGGCAAAAATTTTACAATGAAAGCACAAATTATCGGCCTATCACTTCTTTGGGTTTTGGTTCAGGTGCCATTTCTTTAGGAACTTCAGGCTCTATAAAACAGTATTTTTTCATGTGATAATTATCACTATACAGTTGTGTAACAGCAACACAAGCTGATTTCACAAACACACATACCTTTCTTTACAGGAGCTGGTTTGACTTTCTCCTTGATGACTTCAGCCTCTGAAATGGCAATGATAATATTTAGAGACTAAAATCTTGTCTTAAATTCATCCTTAACACAGGATAAATTCATACCATGTAAAAAAAAAAAAAAGTTAACTCATACCTTTCTTCTCAGCAGCTGGTTTAGCTTTCTCCTTGACTTCAGCCTCTAACACGATGATGATATAAAAGCATTAGCATTTAAAACTGGGAACTTTTTTGGCCATTATTATTTTATTTATTTAAATTGCAGTACCTTTCTTTGGTGCTGGTTTTGGTTTTTCTTTAGTTATCGTGGGTGCTGCAAAACATGAGGACTTAACTTCAGATCTTATCTTTAAAATAGCAGCTGTGGTGTTATGATGTTAACACATAAGTTGTCAAATATCCAGCAATTCACATTTCTGTAATATTAGCAAAGCAAGCACAGAAATCATAATTGACTATTTTTGCCAGCATCTGCTGATGTGTTGATAAGTCAGCAATATTAGGGCATATACTAAATATGTACCTTTTTCTTTAGGGACTAGTTTTGCCTTTTCCTTTGGAACTTCAATAAAGAATTGATTAGAAGATAAATAAGAATGTTTAAAAGCAAAACCTTAAAAACTGAAACATAATTATACCATTCAGGGATTCAAAATCGCACAAGTTACCAGAAAAACACACGTATAATACCTCGCTTTGCAGGTTCTGGTGCCTTTTCTTTAGGAACCTCTGGCTCTGTAAAACCAAATGGTTTGTTGTGATAAATGATCAGCATACATTATGAAAGCAACAATATGTGCAGATTATTTAACTCAATCCATACCTTTCTTTATAGGAGATGGTTTAACTTTTTCCTCAATGATTTCAGCCTCTGCAATGATGATAATATACAAATGTTTATATATCGTGTATCACATTTTGCTTATAAAAAAGTGAAACTGATAGTTGACAGTAAAATCAAACCTTTTTTCTTAGGGACAGGTTTAGCTTTCTCTTTGATGACTTCAGCCTCTACAAAACAGAATAATATTTCAGTTTCATAATATTAAACAGTAAAGCTTTTTTTGCTATAAATAGATTGACCATATTTTTGGTAAAAGTGTAAAATGCAAAAATACCTGAGAGGAAAACAACTCACCTATTTTGTGTTTCGGTTCAGGTGCCTTTTCTTTAGCAGCTTCAGGCTCTTTAAGACAGTTTTAATTTGTGCATGTGATAAATGATCATTATAATGTCAAAATCAGCAATGCAAGAAAATGATGTTGATATCCCTACCTTTCTTTTCAGGGGCTGGTTTAGCTTTTTCTTTCATGATTTCAGCCTCTAAAATGTTGCAAAATAGTTATAAAAACATTTTAACATAATATTACATTTTGTTGAGGAATAGTGTATACACTAATAACTTTACGTACGCATACCTTTCTTTGGTGCTGGCTTGGGTTTTTCTTTAATTATCTCAGGCTCTGCCAAACACACAAGAGTTTTATGTTTTAAAAAAAAAGCAGAACTTGAGTCAAGACTTATTATGGCATAAATTATCATAATGTTCTTTACAATATTTATAAAAGCCAAGTGGCTAGAGTCAGTCAATTGACAGTACTTGTAATGCATTCACAAATCAACAGGTCATTTAAGATGCGAACATGGTTTTGCCTTTTCTTTGCGACTAAAAGGGGCAACAAGGAAAATAAGGATTTGTTTCTAAAAATGCTTGAAATGTAAACGTGTAATATAGCATATAAAGTATATGAATACCTTTCATTGTGGGTTCAGGTGCCTTTACTTTAGAAACTACAGGCTCTATAAAACATTATAATCATCATACAGTGAAAACAACAGTATACATATAGGATGATTTCATAACCATACCTTTCTTTACAGAAGCTGGTTTAATTTTCTCCTTGATGACTTTAGCCTCTAATGATATTGCAAATATGTTTAGAGAAAGAACTGCATTCTAATAACAACAATAAAAACCACAATAAATCAAACCTTTCTTCTCAGGGGCTGGTTTAGCTTTCTCTTTGGTAACTTCAGGCTCTACAAAATAAAACAGAGCAATTTCAATCATGTCAAATAATGCAGTTAAATGCACATATGTAATCTAATGTTAACAAGCACAATAAATCAATTTATTTAATTTTTTATATAATTTGATTGACCAATGTCTGAAAAAAAGGATTGTGGGGAGACATCGAAGCATTTTGGGGTTTTGGTTCGGGGGCCTTTTCTATTGCAACTTCAGGCTCTATAAAGTGTTTAAAATTGATCTGATTTCATTCATGTGATTCATCATACAGCAGAAAGTGTCAGCATAAGCAGGAGGATTTCATTTAAATTCATGCTAATTTTAATTAATTAAAAGTTATTAATTTAATTAATAACTTTCTCCTTGATGACGTCAGCCTCTGAAATGGCAATGATTTAAACATATTTAGAGATAGTAAATCTTTTTTGCATTAATAAATGTATTTATTAGCTTTATCTTTACCAGTGAAATCCCTCCTGAGGCTAAGATAATAACTCTTACCTTTCTTCTCAGGGGCTGGTTTAGCTTTCTCCTTAATGACTCCAGCCTCTGAAATTATGATAATGCAAAAATATTTAGAGGATGCCAAACACATCCATTGACTTAATCTTAAATTTTGCTTTGAGGAAATGGAAATGTTTTAAATATGAACATAGTAAATGAAACCTTTCTTCTCAGGGGCTGGTTTAGCTTTCTCTTTGATGATGTCAGCCACTAAAATATAAAAAAAAAATTCGAATCTATTTTGCGTTAAAAAACTAAAGCTGTTGACTTTAATTTTCTCAGGTTTATGAACATATGAAAAAAAAACACTTTGTAATGTCTTATAAATAAATACTGTGTGTTTATGTAACACACAGTAGAAGCATACAAACACATACTTAAAGCAGAAACACCTTTCTTTTTCTTTGATGAAAAAATATTATGAGAAATCAAAAGATCCGTGTTATATTAAAATCTTCATTGATATCCATACCTTTCTTCTCAGGGGCTGGTTTAGCTTTCTCCTTGATGACTTTAGCCTCTAAAATGGCAATGATGTCAAATATTTTGAAGATTTAAAAGATTTATTATCTTTATAATTTTCTTGTGAAATGTGTTCAATTGATTCTCAACACAAAAAAATCAAACCTTTTTTCTCAAGGGCTGCTTTAGCTTTTTCTTTGATTACTTCCGCTTCTGTAATTGTTAAGATATAAAAACATTTAGGAAAAAATTTATATTATTCTAAACTAGGTTGGCAAAATCTGGAAATGTTTAATATGTTGAAATAAAAATAGAGAATAAAACAATGACATGAAAGAATAAATGGCATAACATTTTGTATAAATACACTGCCTGGCTGGTAAAATGTATACATATACTAAAATACTTGCAGGATGTTTTTTAAGGAAAAAAAGATGATCTTTATGATACAGCACTGATTCATGTGATGGATAATCACACAAGCATTTCATTGACATCCATACCTTTCTTTACAGAAGCTGGTCTAACTTTCTCCTTGATGACTTCAGCCTGAATGATATACAATATTTAGAGTTTTTTTTAATAGTCAGATCTTGTGTAAAATGTTTCTCAACAGTAAATTAAACCTTTCTTCTCAGGGGCTGGTTTGGCTTTATCTTTGATAACTTCAGTTTCTGAAATTGTGAAAATACAAAACATAAATTAAAACAACTGACATAAAACTTCATGTTCCATGAAAAAATAATTTTAATATGATGAATAATCATCAAACAAAAGCATTTCATTCACATCCATACCTTTCTTTACAGGAGCTGGTTTTGCTTTCTCCTTGACTTCAGCCTCTGAAATAGCAATGTGGTGATTGTTGAAGTTTTTGTTTTTAATATTATCTTTAAAACTACCGAGATAAAATATCAACATGAACTCACCTTTTTTCTCAGGGGCTGGTTTAACCTTTTCCTTAATGACTTCAGGCTCTAAAATTATCATAAAGTTTAACCATAAATGTTGTTAGAGAAAATGGTAATTTAATTCTTAATACAGTAAATCAAACCTTTCTTCTCAGGAGCTGGTTTAACTTTCTCTTTGATGACTTCAGCCTCTAAAAAAAAAAAATATATAAGAAAAATGCGAATGATTAGCTTTATTTACAAAAGGCCAGTGGAAAAGCTGTTATATATATATATAGGCATTATTCCCACTAATAAATGTAAAAGCAATTTACCCTTCTTTGGTACAGGCTTGGGTTTTTCTTTGGTTATTTCAGGTGCTGCTGCAAAACATGAGTGTTTAACTTTAGAGTTTGCAGATGTACAGATAAATCAACAAGGTACTGCATTACATAATTATTAAAAGTGATTTTGAATTGACAGGTAAACTAGGTACGTACCTTTCTTTTCAGGGACTGGTTTTTCTTTTTCTTTTGGAACCTCAACTGAAAAGACATCACAAGGAAAATTAATATTCTTTCTACAAACGGCTTATATGAAAATATGTGTACGAGGCATGTTTTCAAAATTGCACATTAAAATATAAACAGTAAATATAGAATATTAACACCTTTCTTGGTGGATTCTGGTTTTGGTTCAGGTGCCTTTTCTTTTGCAACTTCAGGCTCTATGAGACAATAACATGTCATGCGATGAATGATCATCATACAGTTGAAATCTAAAGTATAGGATTATCTTATTCACATTCATACCTTTCTTTACAGGAGTTACTTTCTCCTTAATGACTGCAGCCACTATAAAATAACATTTAGAGATTGTAAATAGGTGAATGCTGTTAGCTTGGGTAAAATGTCAATCTGAATGAAGCATAAATGAAATCGATAAAATGTAAAAAGTTTAAATAATGGTAACACTTGCCTTTCTTCTCGGGGGCTGGTTTAGATTTCTCCTTGACTTCAGCCTCTAAAATTATGAAAATATATAGAAAAAGTCAATTTTAGCATAATCATTTTTGAATGGGGATGGTAATTATGATTTAATTGTTAAAGCAACTCAAACCTTTCTTCTCAGGGGCTGATTTGACTTTCTCTTTGATGACTTCAGCCTCTAAAATGAAGTTTATAAAAGAATTGAAAGCATTAGCATTGTCTTAAAACTGGCCAGACTACAGGTTTTGACATTATTCTTACAGATGAACTCAGATACCTTTCTTTGGTGCTGGCTTTGGTTTTTCTTTGGTTATTTCAGGTGCTGGAAAACACAGCAGTAAAGAACAGTCATAACTGACTTTTTACATTTGCAAATGTGTTATTTGATCAGTGATACAGTGTCACAAAATAAATAAAACTCCTTTGTAACCTCAACTGTAAGAGAGTACAAGGTAAATAAGGACAAGTTTTTTAAGGAAAACTTGTAATGTGAAAATATGAGATTCAGTCTAATCTAGTATTCATTGTTGTAAATGTTGATAAAGCATATACTATATCTTATTACCTTTCTTTGGAGGTGCTGGTTTCTCTTTGATAAATTCAGGCTCTATAAAATAGATGGATAATTCACTTTCAATAATGTCAAGCAACTTCAAGAGCTTCTGAATAAAGAAAATTCTCTCTAAAGAATAATCAAATTGACTGCTGATGAAATATGTAAAATATTCAGTAAATGTTTTTAAAGGTTCAAGAACTAACCTTTTTTGGGTTTCAGTACAGGTGCCTTTTCTTTAGCAACTTCAGGCTCTATAAAACCGTTTTAATGCAATAAATGATCATTATACAGTGGAAAACAACAGCATATTCAGGATGATTTCGTTGATATTCATACCTTTCTTTACAGGAGCCGGTTTCACTTTCTCCTTCAGCCTTTGAAATGGCAATGATGTGAAAATATTTAGAGATTCCAAAAGGTTTTAATGTCCTTGGCTAATTTTTTAATTGATATTTAACACAATGAAAGTCCACATCAAGCTACAATAACGGTAACTCAAACCTCTCTTCTTAGGGGCTGGTTTAACATCTTTGATGACTTCAGCCTCTGTAATGATAAAAAGAGGAAACAAAATGGCTTTTTAGCAAATATGTTCTTTAATTTGTTTAAGGGAAATGTTCATTTGACTCCTACTTTTGCTTAACAACAAAACCTTTCTTTGCAGGAGCTGGTTTAGCTTCCTCCTTGATGACTTTAGCATCTGTAATGTCAATGATGAGTAAATATTTTGATACTGTAAATTATTTTCTTTAACATAATTTTTTTAATATGTTTGTAGAATATGTGATATCTGCTTGATGACTTCAGCCTCTTACATTATGTGATGAAAACAAAGCAAGCAAAACACTATCACTGTCTTAAAACCTGATTGGAGAAAATATTAGCTTGTATTATTGTTCTCACAAATAATGTTATATACCTTTCTTTGGTGCCCTCGGTTTTTCTTTGGTTATCTCAGGTTCTGTTAAACATGGAATTTATGAAACATGAAAAAGCTTGGAATATGACACACATTAGTCTTGCCTGGTAGTAAATTTTGCAAATATTTAAAACAAACATTGCATATACTGCATCCTAATGTACCTTTCTTTGCAGGTTCTGGTTTAGCTTTCTCTTTGGTAACTTCAGGTTCTACAAACAAAATGATATTTCAGTTTTAGAACAGTTCAGCAAAGACATGTCTTTATAGCAGCTTCAGGCTCTGAAATTATGCTTAGAAAAATTACATTTGAACTGTTAAATATTTATACCTTTCTTTGGTGCAGGTTTTGGTTTTCCTTTTCAACTGCAACAGCAGGTTCTGCAAAACATTCAGATATAATTTCATACGATTATGTTTGCTTGAATATCTAATTGTTATTAATATATGTAATTGTACAAATTATTATTTCAATTATAATTAAAATCATTCTCCCAGATATCCAGGTTTGGTTTAACATATCCTGTTCCTTTTTTAAGGAAATATACCGTAATCACAGACTTATCCATACCTTTCTTCACAGCGACAGATTTATGCTTGTCTTTGGCAACTTCTGCCTCTGAAATATATAATATTATACAGAATACATTTCTACACAAAAAAAAAAGAAAAGAAAAAACAATGCACAAAACACTGAACCACTTCAAAAACATGATGAACTATGCAGACAATTAGCCTTTTTTGGAAGGTTCAAGTTTTGCTTTCTCTTTTGGAACTTCAGGTTCTGTGAAAGTATGGAAAATCAACAGTATATTCAGTGTGATGTTTCATGTTCAATATGTGCTCATATTCAGAAAAAAAAACCCAAATAATTAAAGATCACTTCTTTGACTTGATATCAACAGAAAGATTTAACTTGCTACTGGACAGAAATAAACACTTGTTAAGTAGTATAAATACCTTTCTTTACAGAAGCAGGTTTGGGCTTTTCTTTTACAGTTTCTAAAAAAATAAAAAGTTTAACATCAACATTTCTTTCTAAATGACATGAACACAGTTGTATTTTGTGCAATTTTCACATTTGAAAATTATTACCTTTCTTTGGAGGTTTCTCCTTCTCTTTAATAATTGCAGGCTCTAAAAATCAAGTCAAATATTTATGTAGCGTTTAATGTACATGCTTAAGTAATGTAAAATATTCCGAAAGTTTTCTTCTCAAACAAACCTGCATCTTAATGGATAATGATTTGCAGGATAATATTTCAGAAAATCAATCTTATGATTTGACTATTACCCTCTCAAATACAGAGCATGAGCTCTGTACCTTTTTTAGCTGGTGCTGGTTTTGCCTTCTCTTCAACAGCTTCAGCCTCTGTTCAAGATTCAATCATTTTTCTTCATGTGATATTCGTTTCAAGATATGCATGTTGAACAATAAAAACAATTGCAATCATTTTACCTTTCTTTAAAGGTTCTGGCTTGGCTTTTTCTTTGGAAACCTCAGACTCTGTACATCAGTGAATGTTAGCAGTTAGCATCATTAACATTGCAAAAAATATATATATATGTCCAATAAATTCAAACTGTACCTTTCTTAAGTGGGGCTGGTTTCACTCTCTCCTTAGTAGCTTCAGTATCTGAAATGACCATAAATGCATGCATTAGAAAGTGAAGTAATACTCAAAACCTATCCTTTTATAGGTATTGATATCTTACCTATAGATTATTCTGACTAGCTAAAATGTTTACAGTAAATATTTCAACAAAGGTTTTTTTATTATTACTTTTCTTTGAAGGCACTGGTTTGACTTTCTCTTTTGCAACTGCAGGCTCTACAATTCAAGGAAAAGTAGATGTAAGAGTGGACCAATGCACTCATCCATAAATTTAAGAAAGGAAAATTACTAATTACCTTTTTTAACAGTAGCGGTTGTTGGCTTTTCTTCTCAGAGAAGATGGAGGTATATATTTAATAAATTATATATGAGACTGACAAAAATTCATCAAGGACACATATTTTCATATTACCTTTCTTTGCAGTTGGTGGTTTTTCTTTCTCCTTAGAAACATCAGGCTCTGAAAATGAGTCAGTAGGCTCGGCTAATGTCATGCATAAAAAATGACTTTTAATGAATTGCTGTTACTTTAAGTGCAGCCAGTGTTTTAAATGTTTTTTTTTTACATAAGCAGTGACAGGTCATCACAAAGGACTGATATTTACATTTGAATCTATATACTGTATGTAAGAGCAAGGCTGTAAAACAATTTCAAACAACAAATTATATCATGAAAAAATGATTATTAATATAAGTTTAATAGCAGGAGTCATACCTTTCTTCACAGGGACAGGTTTTTCTTTCTCTTCAGCTGCTAAAAGGCATTAATATACTAAGTTCATGTTTTCTTTAAAATTAAATGTTAGCTAAAACAGTAGATAATACCATAACATAGACAGACATTAGAGCAAGAATTAAATGCATGAAAATTAAAATTGCAGCAATTTTATAGTTCAGGTTTTGGAATCTCAAAAGAGCTTGTTTTGCCTTCTCTTTTTACCTTTCTTTGAGGGCTTCGGTGTGGCCTTCTCTTTGCAAACCTCAGGCTCTGTAATTTCATCAACATCAGCAGTTTACGACACATAGAAAAAACACTGCATTTTGTTTAAAATGGCATTTATTGTCTGTGGAATGTCATACCTTACTTTGAAGGAGCAAGTTTTGGTTTTTCAACAGCAACTTCAGTTTCTAGAAGTGAATAAATTTATTATATATAATAAAATATACATCAAGCAATTTTTTACATCAAAAACAAAGCAAACAAAAACACACATTTATGTACTTTCAATGCATATTTTGTAAACATTTTTCAAATCTCAGGGGTTAAAATCTTAAATATAATAAATAAATAAATATAATAACTCTTTTTGCTTTAACAGTTTTGTTTTTGCAACTTCAGGTTGCAGCACTGCATGACATACATTAAATCATACAATAAAACTGATCTCAAGAAAATACTGAATGAGAAACAGGACAAAACATACCTTTCTTCACATGTTTAGCTTTTAAAATTCAATGTATTACAATAAAAATGTACTGGTTAAACATGTTGTTTGGTTCGCATCATCCATGTAGCCCATGTGGATTCTGAAACTGAATAAGCATGTGTAAGGTGAGGAAAGTTACAGTGTGATCATTAAGTTACAGAGACAGGGTTCTCTAACCCTTATGTTTACAGAAGAATATGCAAGCTTGGTACCTTTCTTTGAAGGTGCAGGCTGGACCTTTTCTTTGGTAACCTCAGGTTCTGGGAAGCATTTGAAACAAACTGTTCATACAATCTGTTAACTTACGCAAAGCTTCATACAGTAAAATAATAACACATTCAGAACCAACTACCTTTCTTTATTGGCTTAGCTTTTTCCTTGACAACCTCAGCTACTAAAAGACAAAAAACAGTGTTACCTCTGATTCATACAAATCATAACTTTGCATGATAAACTTTTTCTTTATTTTTACAGGACAAGCATACCTTTTTCTTTTGGAGCTGGTTTTGCCTTTTCTTTGATAACTTCAGCTTTTTTCAAAGAAAAATGCAAACATTATACTGATGTCAGAGCAAACTATAATCAACACACACCATCAGTGCACAGAACTATAACAGTGATCACTTAAAGCCGTAGAACTAGTTCCCCCCAAAAAGAGTTTATTACTATATTCTACAAAAATGTGAATACTTCAGACAGGAAAATAAACAAAAGAAAGCATCTAAAATGGGAGTAGCAGTTTTAATATGAAACTTTAAATATGCATTGCGATACCTTTCTTTGAACGAGCTGGTTTGGCCTTTTCTTTTGTAACGCGAGGCTCTGCAAATGAGTGAAGAAAAATTAAGACAATATATTAGTCTTTACAGTCACTTTTGTTATAAAACGTTTATCTGATGCCAAACTTTAAGGTGGTGTACATAATGTACTTCAATTATGAATTTGCTTTATCATGTGTGCTCAGTGAAGCAAGAACATACAACACAATACCTTTCTTAGATGGTGCTGGTTTGGTCTCTTTTTTGGCCACTTGAGCTTCTGGAAAAATAAGCATTTACATTTATTTCCTGTTACATCAGAATTTACCAAACAGAAAGCCACTTATCACACAAGATACATACCTTTCTTTACAGGTACTGCTTTGGTTTTGTCCTTGGTCATCTCAACATCTATGATCCAATAGAAACAAGAGTTGGCGGTAAACTGGCTGTTATAGATGCATAATATACATCCAAGATCTGCTCTCAACCAATAGAAGTTCTAGGTCACCACTCTGTTACTGTCTGTCAGTAGAATCTTTTTATTATTTTCTTTTTTACCTTCGGCTTTGACCAACTTCTGAGTAACATCTGGGAAAAAAAAAACAGAGGCGTTCAGGGTATGACAGCTACAGCACATTTATTTAGTTAATGCATTTGTAATCATCAGACAGTGAATTATTTAAAACATTGAAGTAGTGACAGAAAAATTTACCTTTAAACACTGTTGGTTTTCCAACAACTTATCCCCACCCCCCGCAGATGAAATTGTACACATTATAATTTTTTTTAATATAACATTTTGTATTGAGTTTTTGGACGGCTTTTAAAAAATGCAGAATGATCATGTGAGAGTCCATATAAAAACTACTAGCAATATATCCTATTATTACAAAAAATTATAAAATATTGAAATAAATATCATAATGGACTAAAGCTGAAATATATAGTGTTTCAATTAAAAACTGTACATTAACCCTGTGTAATGAGGAAGCAAAGCTTTGTTTATCTATTCTGTTGGAGTTAATACATCATGTACTGTATGTACCAGATTTCTTCTTTATTAGAGGGGGTTTCCTTGTCCACTTTAGTCACCTTGACCTTTTTGTCAGTTTTTTTCTTGGTGTCCTTTTCTAGAACACATTTACTATACATAGTACAAGAATATTATCTAATAAAACAGAGGTGATGGGTTCACAGCCTTCACTGTTCTTCTTGAAAAACAGCAGAATCTAGACTTTTAGATGTAAAATCTAAATGTGGATGTTGAGTTTTTCACATAAGAGAAATTAGATCATTTCAGTATGTTTTACCACTCTTACCTGTTGGTTCTCGAGTCTTGTCCTCCTTGGATTTTTCTTTTCTTTTAGCCTTTTCCATCTCCTTTTTCTCGTGTTCTTTTTTTTCCTTGACCTTTTCTACTGTTATGTGTATTTGATGTAGTGTTATCTCTTCCTCTTCACCTTCAGCCTTCTTTTCCCTCATATCTGGAAGAACAGAAAAAATTATGTGTCAGTTCTATCATTTTTCTCTTAAATAGCAGTTTTCATTTCATTCATTTCACAAGCACTGTATTTTACGGTGTGCAAACACTGAAGAAAATAACAAACCATTTACCTTGAATGATTTTGTGTATCTCCTCTCTAGGTTTTTTCTCTTTGGCTTCTTTCACTTGTTCAAAAACTGAAACCATGAGTAAATGTTAAATGAAAGTTACATGTTTTAACATCCATTTGATTAATGAACAGTGAGAATTAGTGCATGAATTAACGCACTATAAGCATGTTAATTTATCATGAATAGTACTTGAAAAGCAGCAAAGTGGTTGTCAGCCATGAAATTATGTTAGATGGCAAAATGAAATTAATAATGGATAATGGATAAATTAAATCATTCATTCTCTTAATGGAATCATTCAGTTAAGCAACAAACAGCTTTGCAAATACTCAAGACACTGAAATTGTTTACAAATCAGTGCAAAGAAGTATTTTGTATGGTTTTCATTTTTCCTAATGATTTGAGAAAGTAATTCTAAATTACACTAAAAAAATTCATTAAAAAAGAAAACATTACACAAAAGCAAACATCATCTTTTGTGGATTTTGCCTATTTAAAGAAACAATATTGGACAAAAGATGCTAAAATTCTTACTATGAGCAATGTCTAATTGATTACTAACATCAAATAGATCTCTCTAATTTTATATAAACTTGCACAGCAGCAGAGTCCTTTAGAGAATCCTCCAGCTGTTTTTGCTCCTCTTTTAAGCATCTTTCCAGAAGTAGAAGCAACAGTGATTTAAACTTCATCTTCATCCATCAATTTGTTCTTCTTTCCAGTCCAAATTGTAAGAGACGAGTGATAACACAGTGTTCTTCAGAACTGATGAAATATCATTGTGATGTATAGATGTATAAACATAGATATAAACAAACATGTATAAGAGAGTCGGACTCGTAACCCAAAGGTTGCGGGTTCGAGTCTCGTACCGGCAGGGATTGTAGGTGGGGGGAGTGAATGTGCAGTGCTCTCTACCACCTTCAATACCACGACTGAGGTGACCTTGAGCAAGGCACCGAACCCCCAACTGCTCCGCGGGCACCGCAGCCCACTGCTCCGGGTGTGTGTTCACTGTGTGTGTGTGTGTGTGCACTTTGGATGGGATAAATGCAGAGCACTAATTCCGAGTATGGGTCACCATACTTGGCCACATGTCACGTCACTCACTAGATATATAACTATATAGATAGCTTACAACCATGTTATGTTCTATAAACAAAATAACTGACATTTTAGATGCAATTCAAACAAGAATTTGAACACTGTTTGGCCAATCAAATTATTGGTCCTGATCTTTTGTATAGTTGCCGCTAATAATACATTTCCAATCATGTTATATATTTATAACAACAACTAATAAATTACTTATTCAGGTGCAATCATGAGGGGAATATGAAAGCAAAGTTGTATGTTAAAATCTTGCACTCTTATACAACTTTTATTAAATTATTAATTTAAATAAAAAAAATAATAAAGTTTTAAGTGAATAATTTCCCCATGGTAAGTGAATTATACTTTGTTATTAAGGTCATCTATTGACATACTGCTTGCCTTCTGTCAACTGAACTATCACTTTTCCCTATTTGTGAAGCATGCAAAAAAGTTTATATACCTTTGTCAGACTCTTCATGAAGATCCTTGTGCGCTTCTTGGTCGTCTGTGCCAATGGAATGGCTCTTTGATGTTTTTCTCCTGCTCATTTTGCATTACATATGTTTGAGGTTTGAGTACTAGTGTTAGTTTTGTGTTAATGTAAAGCTTTTATGTAAATTAAAGAATGTGCATTTACTAACCTTTTTCCATAGGGGGCAGAAATTCTCCTGGAAAAGATTTAGGAATATTGTTAAATTAACATATTATATTATATATTAAAGGGGTCATATGATGCGATTTCAAGTTTTCCTTTCTCTTTGGAGTGTTACAAGCTGATTGTGCATGAGCAGACTGCGTTTGTCGGAAGGAGGGACTTTGTAGAAAACAAAGCTTTTGAGAGAGGCGGGGCATAGAGGACCTACAATAATGTACAGTATTTGAAAAATAATGTGTTTTTTGAACATTAAAGCATGTCAACATATTCTGTTACACCAAATACACAAAATAATGATCTTTAAAAAAGCATCATATGACCCCTTTAACAGAGGTATTGAGTAGTGAGTGAATGAATATTGACACAAACGTTTTCGTCTTATCACTTGCGGTGTGTCATCTGAAACAGAGAATGGAAGGGATAGTTAAAAAGATCATTGTATTTTAATATACAAGCATACATTTGTGATATACTTGAAATGATGAATACCTTTGTCTTCCATGAGCATGTTTGAGAGATAGGTCAAGAGCATATCCCTCCTGTCAGCAAACTCCTCAACAGTGTCTGTGACAACTTTCATGGGATCAAAGCTAATGTCAGGAATACCACCTGAGAAAAATGAAATAATATAACGCAACTGAATACTCTTTTACAAATCAAATATTGAATACAAATTAAACACAATGTTTCAAGCTGATAAATGAACAATACCTTCATCCACTGCAAACAGACTGGTTAGGTAATTAGAGACAGTGGTCTTTATGTCTGTGGCCTCCTCTACAACAATTTCAGCCAGTTCTGCGGGATCAGTGCTCATTTTGGGAAACCAAGCTGAAATATTGATAAAGTGCCTTTATTTGACCTTTATATATACACTCACTGGCCACTTTATTAGGTACACCTTGCGAGTACCGGGTTGGACCCCCTTTTGCCTTCAAAACTGCCTTAATTCTTCGTGGCATAGATTCAACAAGGTGTTGGAAACATTCCTCAGAGATTTTGGTCCATGTTGACATGATAGCATCACGCAGTTGCTGCAGATTTGT